CTACAGCTTGTTTTGGACTTCTGTTCGAATATATAACATGTCATTCAAAGGAGACCTGAGCATTAAAAAAAAAAAAAAAAAACACTGCTCAAGGGGAATGTGATGGGTACATATCAACTCTTGTCCTTTCCCTGGTTCAGTGTACTGTACAATTTACAGCTCCTTTTACAGCTTCTGCACACCATTAGTTATATCTTACATGGCCTTCAGAAACGTTATTGCAAGCATGCACTACCCATTTTTTTTTAACAATGTAGCACTGTCCTGATTCTTCTTCTTTCACTTATTAGAGCGTAGCTTTAGGATCGAAACTTCTGCTTTGCATGTATCCTCTTGTTTCCAACTCCTATTGTTATTCTATTAATTTAATTGGACTGCAGAATGCTTTTTTAATTGTTTTCTTAGGAAAACATCAGCTTGGCAGCCAGTGTAAATAGGCTGTTAGGCTGTTGCAAGTAAAGTTAATGTGTATTATTAATGCAAAGTATCAAAGGGAAAGTATCAAAAAAATAACTGGGGAAATGTGATTTGAAGCAATTTTCCCATTTTATAAGAAAACCAGGGTTTTGGATTCAAAGACGTGCAGATATGTAGAGCAAATTACAGAATTTATATCTTAATGTTTAAAAGTAACAACAGTTATTAAGAGATTGCCTAGAAACAAAATGCTATTTACAATAAAGTATGCCTTTAGTTCTTGGTAGAAGACTTTACATTTGTTACACAAGCAACACTTGAGATAAAAAAAAAACTAGTCACTTTTCCTTATTAGTAGTTTCCCTTGTTTAAATTTTTTTCACAGGACATCTGTTCTGATAAAGAAGCAACATCCTTCTTCCAGGTCAGTGGATGGCAACATCCAATCTGCAAATCACTTTTTGCAGGACTTGTGGATCTAATTAAATTAGCCTAACATTTAATCTTGAACAGTCAAAATGCCTGAGTACATAGGTTGAGCATGGAAAGTCATTGGCAAGAACAATGCCAATTGCAGGAAATTATGCTGTAAGTTTCTAAGATCCAAGAATGTTACAAGGCTTAAAAAGCTGTATGTGGACTTAATTAAATAGTTCTGATCTAAGGTCCTAGCTTCTTAAATGACTCCAGTTTCCTAAAAAAAAAAAATTCTAGCTTTTTAATGCTTGGATCTTGATTTTTTGTTTTTTAGCCATAGTTATAGCTGAAAGGTCTTTCAGCTGTTGTAGCTGAAAGAAAAAGGGTTAATTTTATGTCCGTTTACTAGAAAGCATCTTAAATCCTATTTAAGATACAGCCTAATAAGTAACCAGTTCTTTGTTTTGAACACAATGAAAAGGTATGTAATCAGAATTGCAGAATCAGAATCAGTGTATAAGGAAGAAGTGAGTTGGGTTGATACTCATTTCCAATTTCTGAGGATATTTAGATATTTTTTTAAAACTCTGAAACATCCTACTCTTGATACTTTAGTAATACTAAAAGTTTTCATTGTCTCCAAAGGAAAAACTTTTGATTTTTTTAATGTGTGAAGGCTTGCCTTTTGCAAAAGCAAGTGCTCAGGTTTCCCAGAATAACCATTCAGATAATTTCTATAGACATGAGGTCATTGCTGAATATAACATATAATCTTAATTAAATGACGCTAGGTATATATGAGGTTGTCTCAAACTGAATGAGATCATGTGTTGGTTTAGCAAGTCAGCAAATCAAACTGACAGTGGCTCTTCATGGTTTCAAATAAAAATATTTTCTGATTTTATCTGAAAATGTCCAGGACTACACTTGAGAATTTTTGCATTCAAAAAGATGCACTTTCCTCTCTCCAACTATAAATGATCACTTCAGATATGACTGTTCAAATACATCTACATAGATGTACTATATAACCAAACAGTCTTACATTATCATATCTAACAATATATTATTATTGGAGACCCCCATTGCTCGAAGGCTGTGGATAAGAGTAATTTAATTTAAGACAATCTTCCGAAATGTATATAATATATAAGGTTTTGACCACGTATTCTGGAATGTCCTGCTGAACCACAAAAAACAGTTAAGAAGCCATTTGAGGCTTTGGTGGCACAGTGGTTAGAATGTAGTATTACAGGCTAACTCTGCATTCCCTCTGCCAGCAGTTCGATCCTGACTGGCTCAAAGTTGACTCAGCCTTCCATTCTTCCGAGGTCAGTAAAATGAGGACCCACATTATTGGGGTCAGTATGCTGACTCTGTAAACCGCTTAGAGAGGACTGTAAAGCACTGTGAAACAGTATATAAGTCTCAGTGCTATTGTTGTTTAGGCCCTGGCATTGGCTCCAGCCTTTCCAGTGTGTTGCTTTGCAGAAGATAGATTATAATTCCCACTTTCCCAGGGCATTATTCTAAAAATTTGGAGAAGTGCAGTACGTTGGGGAAAGTTACATCACACTATTAAAAGGGAACTTAATCCACCCTTAGGAAACCCAGGAAATCATCTGCCTACTTTATCATTTTATTCAGCCATTTAGAGTCCTATCTGATACAGCAATTAGCCTGGAATCCGAGGCTCCTGTATACTACTAGGAGGAAGTACAGTGAATCACTTCTACTTCAATCATCTGTTTTCACTTTAACATGAAAACAAGAAATGCAAGCTTACTGTGCTGCAACTCCACAAGGAAGTTAATTATTATACTAACAGAAAAATAATATAATTGCCCTTAGTAATAGAAAATTAGAATATTGTCTTCATACTGATAAATCTTGTTGCCAAAGTACTTAGATAACAGCACTCAATTTCATTATTTAACATCCCACTGTCATGTAGCTGCTTAAAAGGTAGCAGCCTTTTAGTCTGTCATACTGTTTTCTATTTGTGTGCATTATCAACTTTTTCCTCCTTTTTCTTCTCTCTTTCTCTCTCTACCTAATTGGTTCTTCTATAGAGTGAAAGTAGCAGCAGTAGCAATATCTCCACCATGCTGGTGACACACGATTATACGGCAGTGAAGGAGGATGAGATTAATGTCTACCAAGGAGAAGTCGTGCAAATTTTAGCCAGCAACCAACAGAACATGTTTTTGGTGTTCCGAGCCGCCACTGACCAGTGTCCTGCAGCCGAGGGCTGGATCCCCGGCTATGTCCTGGGACACACCAGTGCAGTCACTATTGATAACTCTGATGGAACAATGAAGTAGGTGTAATGCATGCTTCGTTGATGACTTTGTTAGTTTGCAATAGCAACGGAGTCCTGTAGTAGCTTAGTGATATAAACTTTCCTAGGCGGGATCCAGGTCTCTGATATATAAAATGGGCTCCTATTTATTTTTACAATACAAATAAAAACTACAAAATAAGTATTTTAATAAAATAAATATTTTACTTACAAAGGCTGATTTAATGACGGATAATATTTAACATTCTTTCTCTGAAGTCATGATAAAACATACATTGTTCTCAAGATATTTCTTGTCCTATCCACTGTGAATCAGCTAGGGGTCAAAAGTTATAACATTTTGGAAAACTCCAATTGAAAGCTTCAGTGGCTGCTGAGATTAACTATTTTCTTTCTTTCTTTCTTTCTTTCTTTCTTTCTTTCTTTCTTTCTTTCTTTCTTTCTTTTTTCTATATCTATCTATCTATCCTTTATTATTTTTTACAAATAACTCAAGGCATTGAACGTATCCAACACCTTCTCTCCTCTTGTTTTCTCCACAATAAGAACCCTGTGCATGAGTTGGACTGAGAGAGAGTGACTGACCCAAGATCACCCACTGGCTTTCATGGCTAAGATGGGACTTGAACATACAGCATCTTGCTTTCTAGCCTGGTGCCTAAACCTTTGGACCAAACTAGCTCTCTGAGCATGTTTTATAATCTCTAATTTGTTACCACCAAGTAACATCTCTTTTACCTCCAAATTGCTGGATATGGTTAACATATCTCAAAAATCTATGCCCATCGTAATATAGTCAGGGACACTGTATCCCTTAGCTACCTCACAAATCGTCAAAAAAACCAAAAGCGTAGCTGCAGTTTACTAACTTGCAAACTGCCCTTATTTTACAATGATGTTAGAAATCATATATTTCATAAAGTGACAATTAGAAGTACCTCATAATCTCATTAAATCTTTCTCTTCTCACTGTCATTTGAAGTGGGCTTCTCTTTTCTTCCCAGGTTTCTTTTCCTCTAGGTTGATTTAAAACATTTTTTTTTCCCCAATCAAAGCCATCCATAGAAAGGTAATCACAATCTGTTATGTTCTGGTTTCAGGAAGTCGTCATCTTGGCACACAGCACTCCGCCTAAGGAAAAAATCTGAGAAAAAAGACAAAGACGGCAAAAGGGAAGGCAAATTAGAAAATGGTTACCGTAAATCGAGAGATGGACTCGCCAATAAGGTTTCCGTGAAGGTATTTCTTCCTGACATTACATTTGTAAATACTTATACTTGAAAAATGTTAAAAACTTTTAATTTATAAAACCTGGGATACATTTTGCCAATATTTCCTGGAAAAAAAATAGTAAAAGGATACAAATCCAGACTAACATTCCTTTATTGCACAATGAAAAAATTGATAATTCCATTCTCAACATACAAAAGGAAATCTCAGTTTCAACTGATTATCAAGAGCATTCATCGTGATAACAAAAAAAATAAAAATAAAAACAGGCACAGTTTTAATAATATAGCTAGGTTTGTAACTCATTTTATGAGGGATAGCTATATCCACCTGCATGAAAATCTTATAGGCTGGAGCAACTAAAATTATTATTGTGAGTACTGTACCATTGTGCTGTCTAAATTAATTTAGCATGAACTCTAAGATTAGTTAAATCTTTTTGATGTTTTGGGTATAATTCAATTCCCATATGGGGTGAAAGAAGCTGAGTCTCTTAAAGGTGTTCATTCTGACCGATTAGGTGTCTGAAGTGAGATTGGTAATATTGTAATACTGATCTGGTAAGCCACAATTAATCTTTTAAGAATTAATTAATTAAGAATTTATAACTTCAAATGTCATCTCTTGACTTTGATTCCATGAAAATTCCTCCACTTGTTTTTAATGTACAATTTAGTGAATTTGGGATGATTGGTGCCACATTCCTTCTCTGCTCTGGGGTTCATTTTTTATTTGTCTTTGTTTCTTCAAAATAATGTAATCCCAATAACCCAGGGACATCTCTAAAGTATTATCACTAACCTTTTTTTCTTTCCTTCTTTTTCTCTCCTAATTTTTTTTATATGTATCTAAATTAATGTGAGCATGTGAGATATGGGGAGATAGTCACTTTGTTAATATTTACTGAAATAAGCAATAACCTGTTTTAAAGAATTTATAGTGGTTTATAAACATAGTCCCTTAATATTGCATCATATCTGTGAAGTATCAATCTCTGCATTCAGTGATACTTAATATATATTAATAAACGGGCTTTAACACATTGTAACTCTCTGCCCACAGCAGTTCTGGAGGGCCGGTATAAAAAAGTTCCATGTGAGCTGAGCTGTGCCCTTATGGACAAGCGGGCATTGAAACTACAGCTCATATCCTGTTGTATTGCCCCCCTCTAAAGGGCTCACAGACTCAAAACAACTTACCTGATTAAATATATTGGAAACTCTGATCATTTTATGTAAAACTACTATTGTCAGATCAGTACGATTCAGTTTCTCTGAACATAGCTAAGATTTTTTACAGTCTCTGTAAAATTAGGCAGACTTTGGTCACCTACTGATTTCACCATTAAATGTAATACATTACTATGCCCTGGGTCTGTTCAGTTCTGTTCAGTTTTGCTTTATTTAAATTTTTAACTTTTTTGCTGGTCCATGATTGTATTAAAGATTGAATTGAATATTAATAAATCTGTTACTTTAATAGGTGAAGAATTTCCTAGGGCTAAAACTCCAGACTTTCTTTAGTTCGGTTTATTATATCCATACCACCCAAATCCCCGTCTTTCAGTTCCTCCGTTCCTCTAGAATATAAACTGAGAAAGTACCCAATCAAACATAATTTGTAAAAGGTTATCTTGCAACTGCACATATATTTGAGTTTGTAACGATACCTTGGAGAAATTTTCAGTTGGATTCATGATCAAATAGGATGTGTTAAGGATGTGTCCTCAGCTGTCTTGATACTCATGGCATAGATAGCATAATTTGAATAGCTAACCAAACATTAGTTCGTTAGGTTGAGGTGTTGTCAGACACAAGAAATCGGGAGTCAGGGTTGGATCCAAAATTAGTACAAGTTTATTCCATGTTTCCTTTAAACATGCATCTGAATTACTAATGGTCAAGGAAAATTGGTGGTACATAGGTTAACAGAAAGGCTCAGCCTACTATTTCCTGCATAAGTTTTGTTTTTGATTCTTGGCTTGCTATAATTTTAAACTTTTTTGTTCTTAAGGACGGACATTCTGTGAAAATTTCTGTAATGCTAATTCTATTCTTTTCCTTTTCAGCTTCTCAACCCCAACTATATTTATGATGGTAAGTTAAGATTTATAAAATTGTAGTTTCACGAGAAAAATATTTTTGAAATAGTCTTAGAAGTTACTATTAGAGGAAGAATTCATCACTAAAAGACTATAAAAATGTCATTGATATCTATTAAACCATCAGACAAGTAGCAAAGTGATATAACCCTTTTAAACTAGTTTATTTATTCTATTAAGGATGTGCAGATCACCCAAAATCTTCTCCATGTCATACACATGTATTCATTTAGTATGCAGCTTTGCATGTTGCATTTTTTTTAAAAAATCAATTATTTCAAATTAATTAACAAAAGAAAAAGAATACATGCAGAACTATTAACAAAAAAAAAAGAGAAGACAACAACCAAACTAGTTCTTATGCAAAAAGTCTACATTTCTTTGGTATGCAATTACTTAGTTCCCCAATATTTCAGGCTTTGCGGACCGGTGGGGGCAGAGGATGGTTTGCACAAGTGGCCGGCAAGGGCGTGCTCATGCACACAGTTCCATTTGTGCAAGAAGCATGCACGTATGCCTGCTACTTGCACAAATGGAACACATGCACACACACATGCTGCTCGTGCAAGTGAGGGTGTGCTTGCGTGTGCTCGCCGGTCATTTCCACAGCTCAGTTGCAAGCCCTGAATGGCCCACTAGTGGGCCATGACCCACAGGTTGGGTCATTAAGTAATTAAGTAATTACTTAATTAAGTAGTTAAGGCAGATAAAATTCTAATAAATAAATGAAAAATAAATAAACATGACCATGTGCCACTTTCCTAAATATATAACTTTTTGTACACATCTTTTTCATATATCTCTTGAAATGAGTATACCATATAAGAGTGTATATTAGCAACCACATAGATTATTTTTTCCATGATGATCTGTTTCTAACCTGGTCTTTCAGGTACTCTTATTACCTCTGTAACTAAGTCCATCCACCTTGGTACTGGTCATCCTTTTCTTCTTGTTGTTTCCACCTTTCCTGACATAACAGTTTTCTCCAGATTGGTATCCCTTCACATAAGCTGTTGAAAGTAGGATAATTTGAGCCTGGTCAATTGTGTCTCAAGCAAGAGCTCTGGATTCATTTGTTTTATGGTCCATTTCTTAGTTTTCTAGATTATCCATGGTATTCTCAATAATTCCCTATCTTACCCAAATTCAACAGTGCTAATACTCTTCCTAACCTGTTCTCCAAAGCCCAACTTTTGCTTCCATAGAGTGTCATAGAGAATGCCACTCCTTGCACAATTCTGGTCTTTATAGGTGTAGACACATCACAGCACATTAATCTTTTCCAAGCATTCACAGCTGCTCTACCAAGTGCTAGTCTGTAATATATTTCTTGACTGCTTGTTCCTTTACTATTGATGGTTGATTCTAAAAGGCAGAAATTATCCACATTAATATCTTCATTGTCAATGTTATATTTTCTATCCATATGGTTTCCTTGGTAAAAAGATAGGTGTGGTTTATCATTGCTTACTCCCAACCATATGAGCTGATGCCTTTTCCATTATTGTTAAAGTGACTGGCCTTTGCCATCTTCCAATCTTGCGGATGCCCAGTATAGAGGTCTTCTTGTTTTAGCTGGAAATTAGGATGATGTTAGGCAATCCTGCTGGAAAAATATATTCTCCAGGCATACATTTCTGTTATTCTTGGCTCACCCCTCCATGAACACCACCTCCAGGGGGAAGGGAAAATGGAATGGATTGCTTCAAGTAGGAGTTTGAGGAAAATATTTTAAAATGCTTCCGTATTTTTATCTGCATCAGAAAAATCTCTGTTATACTTCTACACCAGCAATATAGTCTCACTTCTTTATATGATATTCATGTATTGATGCATAAATTACCTTAAAGACTCTCAATCTAGTTTATTTAGTTTTGTTATGCTGCAGTTCTGTTTTATGGAGTCTTGCTTGTCAAGATTCAATACACATTTTGCTTCTTATTGTATCCTACTGTCCTATAATCACACTTACTTTCTTGCTTGAAAAAATATCAAAGGCAGGATAATATCGAAGCATATATCTTTTGGCCTCTTTGGATTTTATGCTCACACTTATATTTTTCCATTCAGAACTTCAGACTTCTACATTCCCCCTTTGCCCACACCCTGTTTAGAGAAATGCATTTCCAAGCCTAGGGACAATCTCAAATCACTGTACAGTCTTCCACCGGTATATTATTTCTTGGTGAGAAAAGTGTGCAACCTACTGCGAATTAAATATGTAAACTATGCAGTATTCTGGAGAAGAAAGCATACATGCATTCAAAGTGATGTGTATATTCAGTGATCGGTGAATAGAAAGGTGGGGTATAAATGTCTGTGTAAACACGTTGTTTAAAATCATATTTTGTTTCAGTTGTGATGCAGAGGTAATATGTGCATCATCTCAAAATTGTATGAATATAATGTTATCAACAAGACAGTGGCCTGTCTTCGTCTTTAACGGCAACTATTTCCTTTTTCACAGTTCCCCCAGAATTTGTAATACCATTAAGTGAGATGACGTGTGAGACAGGAGAGACTGTCATTCTTAAATGCAAGATCTGTGGTCGTCCAAAAGCTTCAATCACTTGGAAAGGTCCTGATCATAACATATTGAGCAATGACAGCCATTACAGCATCTCTTGCAGGTACTGGGCTTCTCTTCACCGCGACTTGTACCATATTGGAAGGAGATTGTTTCATAAACTGCTTGTAGGTCCAGTGAGTACCCAGACATTTGTCAATATCATGGGCTGTTCAAACCATTTTTTTATTACAAAGAAAAGAAGAATGTAAGTGACTTTCAGCCTCACTAAACAGACTAGTACGTTCACAGGAAGGCTACAATTAATTCTGTGGAGATTGGCTATAATAACACAGTCTTGTCTGATTGTGCTGTACCTCCTCTTCCTTCCTTTAGTTCAGTTTATTACATTATGCACCCTGTCCCTTCCTCAGTTATCCAGGGAACTTAAAGACTGCCAGGGACTCATCGAGGTTCCCAATCAAAAGGATAGCATGTCAGTTTTAGTTGTTTTCCCTCAGTCACCAAGTTGTTCAAAGGGAGGTTGGGCAACAGAGATCAAACTACACTGAAATAGTTATAGAGTATTAAGCAAATTGTTTATATTTTAGGGTCAGTGGCTTTCTTTTCTGTGAACTGGATTTTGCTTGGAAGAGAAAAATATAAATTTAAAAACTGTCTTAAAAGAGCCGAGTTTATCACATTTGTGACCTTTGATGAAACTGATTGATTTCAGTCAGCTTATACAGGTAGTCCTCTGTTTCCAGCCACTGGGACTGAAACTTCTCTCGCTAAGCAATGTGGTTGTTGAATAAGCCTTGCCTGAGCCTTTTAGCCACAGTAGGTAAATCACATGGTTGTTAAGCTAATCCAGCTTCCCCCATTGACTTGACTTATTGGAAGCTCCTCCAAGTAAGTTGCAAATTGTGATCACATGATCCTGGGATGCTGCAACCATCATATATTCATGCCTGTTGCCAAGCATCTGAATTTACATCATGTGACCATGGGGAGACTGCAGTGGTTGTAATTGCAAGGTCTGGTCATAATCCTTTTTAAGTGCTTTTGCAACTTAAGTCTTTAAACAAATGGTTATAACTCAAGGATTACTTGTATGCTGATGCAATCATATCTGCCTCTAAGCAGTTTATGGCTCCAAATGGTAATACTATTTAAAACAAAAACACAACAAGGCAACAAGATAACCTCAGAGCATTGTGAAAGAACCATATCCCATATTCACAGTTACCCCAAAGAGAGACAGAATAGTCCCTCAGACCCCAAAGGCCCATCGAAACAGCCCAGACTTAATAGGTATCGGAAAACTTGGACCCCTTTATTATCATCCATCTGATTGCGGATGAAGAGAAATTAGTTATGGATGTAACTTGCATTAACAGCCAGCAAATCTCAGAACCTCTGTGGATATAATAACTCATCTCTAGGTTTAGAGATGACGGGAGACACAAGGCAAAATGGTCTCAAAGTTATTTGTCTTTGAGCCTAAGATATTGTCTTCCTGGGAGAAGAATTTTCTAAGACTCATGTTTTCACATTTTACACAAATTTTGTTTTATCCTCACTATTTCTCCCTTTTCAGAAATGGATTCCTGCTGCCATGATGGCAGACGTTGTGTGATAGCCCTGCCCATCATCATTTGAAATGATCTCTTGACAAAATTCCAAATGACCCAATAGTTCAAAATAGTTGGAGCTGCATATATGGATTGGCCATTGTTGTTACCTTAGTGTCTTGCCATTTGGCTTTTATTTTGATGGAGCATTTGTTGAAGAATTGAATTAAGCAGGAACCCATGCTGACATATGTTCAGAAGCACATCATCCAAACATTATTAAAAGTATATTAAGTATTCAAGCAGTACCAGGCCCCATTCAAACAAACAAATAAAACCCTCAAACTTCCTCATAATATAGTTATCTTAGGTGTGGTGTATATAATCTTTGAGATGAAAAATAGATTTATTAAGAAGTAATTAGGATGGGTAAGATGCGGACAGAATCTAAATTCTCTCTAAGTTAACTTTGAAAGTGAGTGTGTATGTGTGTGTGTGTGTGTGTACGCACGTACATAGGCATGTACATTTGTTTTTTAAATATAAGAATTACTGGTCAGGTGAGAGACAGACACAGAAGCAATGTGTGAAAACCCTTTCCATCATTTTTGTCTCACTATTTGCCATAAGAGTCCAAAGACTCTCTGGGGCAAAAAGAGGATTCAGTCACCAGCAGTATTATATCACATGAAGAGTGGGTTGTATATTGTATACGATGAAAACTAAATAAAAAGGAAGTATTACATAGTTTAAAAAGTAAAAAGAATCTATTATACTGATGACAGCCAGGGTTGTCATGCATGAAATTGCAATCTGTTTCTTTGCTTTCTTACCAGTTGAAAGAGATTAGAATTAAAGGAGGGGAAATTTTACATTTGAAGTATTAACAGTATTAATAGACAGATGTAGGTAATGTCTCACCTGCTTACAGTTTATGATATTTTGCAGTGATTTAGGAGAAGCATATCTGAAAATCATTGGTGTGACCACAGAAGATGATGGTGTCTACACGTGTATAGCTGCAAATGATATGGGTTCAATTTCCACTAAGGCTAGTCTGCGAGTTTTAGGTAGGTTCGTATGTATGATATCATAATACGAGATAAAAATAACACGTTTTGTATATAACACTTAATGAAAGGGTGTTTTCTCCATTTTTAAGGTCCTGGAAGCGATGGAATCATGGTAATCTGGAAGGATAACTTTGATTCCTTGTATAGTGAAGTGGCTGAGCTTGGCAGGTAAGATCAACTAGTGCTTCCTACTATGAACCTCGAGTGTGTATATGGAAAGACAGGAGTGTATGTTTATGTATGTGCAGATGAACTTGCTTCACACTAATTCACATTGATATGCAGGAATTAGATTCTTTGAGAGCCTGTTTACACTGTAAAATTGAACATTATGAGACATATCTGCTAATTTTAAACTAGTTAATGCAAATTGACTCAGATCCAATTCTTATATTTGTAGTGAAGTCTGTGCAGTAGTTTTCTCTACTAATCTGGCACAATAATGTTGTAATTCTGTCATTATGAGTCTCATTAGATTAATAAAATTTGCTGAGAATATTTGGATAGCACACATTCATATAATTTCATTCTGGTTTTTAATTGCTCTTACTTCTTAAGATAGACCATGCTTCAGTGAAAAGTCTGTGGAAGTCTCCCTAATTTACATACTTGATTTTTAAATGACAGCCAAGACCAAGGGGCGTTAGTATAATTAGCATTAATTTAGAATGTTACTGAAAAATCATTAAAAAAAATCATTTGTTTTAATTCGCATTTTTAAATATTTCTGGGGCTTTTAAAGACATGTCTTTCTTAATAGTACATGGCCAGGGTTATATATGTATGTATGTAGTGACATGAAAACTGACCTAGGTTGCAGGTATTCCTTGTTGACTTTGTTCTTCTCACTTTTTTTCCTTAGGGGCAGGTTTTCTGTCATTAAGAGATGTGATCAGAAAGGAACCAAGCGAGAAGTAGCCGCTAAATTCGTAAATAAGAAATTGATGAAACGAGATCAGGTCACCCGTGAACTTGGAATTATGCAGAATCTCCAACACCCTCAGCTTATTGGCCTTCTTGATACCTTTGAGACTTCCACCAGTTATATCTTGGTGTTAGAAATGTGTGTAATCTCTTAGTTACTTCGTTCAGCTATTTTGCTCTTTTCTAATATCTTTGATTAGTTTTAAAATTTAAACTAGTTTCATGTAATGAAATTGAAACTAGTTTCATGACAATCTGCGTGTACCACAACGAGTCCAAAACATAAACTGGACAGTGCCACATAAGCTCCCTATTTAGAAAGTCACAGTGAAATTTCTCTAAAGTTCAGTAATGATCCTGTGACATCATTTCTAAAATATAAATGACTCTCTTGCCCTTCTGAGTATTGAAACACTTTCCTTTTCAAGATCAAATCAAAGTAACCTGAACAAAACCTGTGTTTGCGCTAGCCTGCACAATAATCAAAGGACAATTAATGCCCAAATTCCTTCAGAATTCAAGGAATGAGGGAAGTCAATATTTTTACAATAATTGTTTATTTCAAACATTCTCTTTGTATAGTCATTGTGAGATTAGATAGACAGACAGACAGATTTCATTCAATAATATGGTCAGGGAATAGGATAAAGAAAAGAATGATGGCATTGAGAGGTAAGATAAGATGAGCACACTGATAAAGTGTCAAATTTTCTGGTCCATATTGTGGTCATAAGTTGGGACTACCTGTTGTAAACTAGATGTAGGCCCATATTTAAAAAAAACTCATGTCATTTCTGGTTTAATATTTCTAACTTCTTTTCTGTACTTTGGATAAACTGTGAGAGGTAATATTGGGGTATATATGTATACAACAAAATTGCTTTTTATTTATTGGAATCCTCACTGTTTAATAATGATTCCTTGTGATCACTTTGATATTGGAGATGCAGTTCAGAAGTCAGAACATGAACTAATACGGATTCCAATTTGTCCTATTATGCCATATTTGGGAACTGAAATCAAGAGGATAGTTACTTGTGTTAAACATGTGAATGTTCTTAGCTGTATCCATAGGTTTGGAAACTATCAAGGGATCCAGAATTTTGGATATGTCTAGTATAAGGGCTGGCTGCAAATTTATTATAATTTGTTATGTAGTACTGGAGGGGAAATGTATACTTAACTGGCAGCAGTGGATTGTTCTTTTGTGTTGCTTGTCACATTTGGATTAGTACCGCTTTATAAAACTCTAGTAAGACCACACCTGGAATACTGCAACCAATTTTAGTCACCATACTACAAAAAAGATGTTGACAGCTTGGAAAAAGTTCAGAGAAGAGCAACTAAAATGATCAAAGGACTGGAGACTAAAATATATGAAGAATAGCTGCAGAACTTGGGTTTGGTTAGTCTAAAGAAAAGAAGAAATAGGGGTGATATGATAGCAGTATTCCAATATTTGATGGGTTGTCACAAAGAAGAGGGTATCAAACTATTCTCCAAAGCACCAGAGAGCAGGACAAGAAACAATGGCTGGAAATTGATCAAAGAGAGAAGCAACCTGGAATTAAGGAGAAACTTCCTAACAGTGAGGACAATTAATCAGTGGAACAGCTTGCTTCAGAAATCGTGGGCGCTCCATCACTGGAGATTTTTAAGAAGAGACTAGACAGTCACTTGTTTGAAATGGTATAAGTTCTCCTGCTTGAGCAGGGGGCTGGAATAGAAGATCTCCAAGGTCCCTTCCAGCTCTAGTCTAGTCTAGTCAAGAGAGTTCTGACAAAGAGAAAAGGAAGACAATCTTTGAGCAATCCTAACAATTTTTTTCAGAATTCTTTTCTTTATAACATAACAAAGCCTTTGTTGCCCAGCATCATCAATTTTGTGGTTATATTGCATAATTAATACTTGTTAATTAATTTTATATAATATACAAAAATTATATAAAGAATTAATTTTATATAATAAAGTAAAAGTAAAAAGACTTATATATCCTACATGAGCTAGAAACACATTCTCAAATGATGACAAGTAATACATCAAAGGGGTTACTAAACTTCATTCTGAATTAGCAAAATTAATTTCTTAGTAATTGGACTAGAAGGTTCACTGTAGAAATGGTACTTTTTAGAAAATGATGCGTGTTAGTCTTTACTTATGAAATGCAGGCTGCTGACTTTATTTTTAACATGATGCTTATGCTTTCACAGGGCCAACCAGGGTCGCCTTCTTGATTACATTATACAATGGGGAAATCTCACTGAAGGAAAGATCAAGCTGTATCTGCGGGAGATTCTGGAAGCTGTACATTATCTTCACAATTGCAGAATAGTACACTTGGACCTAAAGGTGAAGTGGGCAACAGGTTTTTTTTCTCTTCCAAAGCCAAAGTGAACCATTGACATCAAAACATTTCTGGAGCATTTAAAATGTTTTTACTTGAGGGTATCTCATTATATGTTTAGAAACTAGCATTCAACAAGCATATTATTGCCATCCAACACAACTAAATCTTACAAGATGTAGACCATGTTCCCGATCAATTCTTATATAAAATTTAATGTTGCTTTTACTTTATTAAATGTATGTTGTGATCAGCAAATTGAAATGCTTTTCATCTAGTAAGCCTATACGTGTATATTTTTTCCTTTTAATAGCTGACCTCTTTAAAAATACTTATGATTGGTTAGTGGTTTTTTGTTTGTTTGTTTGTTTCAAAAAACAGAAGATGCAAAGATTATAAAGTAACTCTGTTAGAACTTGAGCTGGTATAACATAGCTGAGAATTTGTCTTCTCTTTCAGCCCGAAAACATTCTGGTGGATAAGAGTTTGGCCAAAGCAACAATCCGATTGGCTGACTTTGGAGATGCAGTTCAACTCAACACTACTTATTATATCCACCAGTTATTTGGGAACCCAGAATTTGCAGCTCCTGAAATTATCCTTGGAAATCCCGTCTCCCTGACCTCAGATGTGTGGAGCATTGGAGTGCTCACATATGTCCTCCTTAGTGGCGTGTCTCCTTTCTTGGATGAAAGTGTAGAGGAAACCTGCCTGAACATTTGTCGCTTAGACTTTAGCTTCCCAGATGACTACTTCAAAGGAGTAAGCCAGAAGGCCAAAGATTTTGTATGTTTCTTATTGCAGGATGACCCAGCCAAGCGTCCTTCTGCTGCACTGGCCCTCCAGGAGCAATGGCTGCAGCCAGGCAGTGCCAAAAGTGCTGACAGCATTGACATAGCCAGACTGACTTCATTCATTGAGCGGCGAAAACACCAGAACGATGTTCGACCCATTCGTAGCATTAAAAACTTTTTACAGAGCAGGCTCTTGCCAAAAGTTTAACCTATCTTTGATGTTCTCTCTCATTCTCTTTCACCTGTCAGTTAAACTGAGGATGAAGCTCTCCTGCCAATCAGCTGTTGACTTGAATTTGGGGTGAAGAAGATAAAAAAAACAACAACCAATCAGCTGCTAGCATGGTTCATCGTGTGAAAATGTATTCCAAGTAAATCTGCGCACGATTGTACTTGGGACTAGCAGTGTAAAACTATGTTGGGGTGGAGGACTACAACACTGTACTCTGCAAAAGGCAATGAAGAACATTATACTTACAACAGTATTTTATTCAGGTTTCTGCAAAAAAAAAAAAACACTTTTTTTTTAGAAAAAAGTCGAATGAGAATTAAAATTTTGCGAATGACCTTAACTAGAATTTTCAAGATTTTAGACAAAGGAACTCTGCCTATGATCAAAGCACTGGTGTTAAAAAGACAAAATATGGACACTGACACTTAAAAATGATTTAACGAAATGGCTGTCCATTTGGATGGTGCCCATTTTGGACCATCCAGTTTTTCTTTTCATTTTTGACTTGGACATAGAGCTTTCCAGTTGCCTCGCCTGTGTATACCTTGCATAGCAGGGCACTGAGATCAGGCTCTGCTTTTAAGTGCATCCAACCTCAAGATTTTTGCATACAGATAGAATGAACCATTTTGCTCTGATAAAATGTAGGCCTTACTTGTAAATAGACTATTACCTGCCTTCAATCTGTGTCTCTATTTTTTGCCCTCTTTTCCTTCCTCCTAAATGGTGGTATACCACTGTGCGGGTCTTTAGTTCAGGTCAGCTTTGGCTGGACCTATCAGAAAAGAACTCCTGAGTTTGGTAACAAATAGGCCAACCTCTACCATCAAGCAGGAAACAGCAGGAAGATAATACTGTAAATGCACTCACTTTGGGATTTTTTTTTTTTTAAATTTTATTTCATATCATGTGCAATGTTGTGGCTTTAACATTTTATGCAACTATTTATGAGACCTTCAGTTGTAACTGTAATAAATATATAGGAAAAAAAAAAGCACATTCATAGTATGGTGAGCTTTATGACTTTGTGCTTGGAAATTCCAGGGTCGGGGTGGGCGAAGGTTTATCAATATGTTGTAAACTAGTTGATGCTTATCTTAGAACTTTGTTAAAAGGTCAACCTGGTTTTAAAAGATTGTAAAATTATTTTCATCTCCTGAAAAACAAACTGGATTTTAAAAATGGGGAATGTTTTATTGAAGTTTGGTTTGGTTTGGTTGGTTGGTTGTTCAAAATGCCAAAGTATTATTTTCCCCTCAAAATTAATTTCTATTTTATAGAATGTTCAGATTTGTCTACTGCTTTTTCTACAATACTAAGCAAAGTTTGTGTTCTTCAAAGAAAATGCTATCAAGCAACCATGGACCAGAACCTGACATCAGATGGCAAGCTCTTTATTGAATTAAAAAAAAGATTAATAGGTGGAATATTGAGATATTAACGGTTTTCTGTGCATTAGACAAGGACATCCAGTCACATATATTTCTTGTGTGTAATGAGCCTTGGGGAAAAAAATAAGCCGGCATCCCATACAAAATAGTTATACGACCCATCTTAAAACTATCACCTGGTTATAATTTTAGTGTTTGTGGCTCCCATTGTAAACTATTTATTTTTCTTTTGTTTTTCTTTTACTTTTGTAAAACTGTACAGAAACTTTTAAAATAAGAATTGAAATCAAAACTGGATGGATGTACATTCATACCAACCATAACTTTTTTGCTTCAGAATTATTTTATTTCCTACCTTAGTTGAAGTTTCACTTTATTTTGCATGTATATTTTTTGTACAGTGATGTTGCGTGTTTACACAGTATGATGTGATGTATATATTTTATTTTGCCATTAGTTATTTTTTAAAAAAATTAAACATATTTAACAAATGTGCCTGATTTTTTATATATATATCAAAGAGTTGTAGAAAATCTGAAATATTTTAGACTTTTAGTTGACAAATTACAAGCAATGTAAATATCTTTGGTATAATACAAATATTAACTAACTTACACAGCTTTCCTAATTTCATCCACAATGTATACCCATTAAGAGGAAGCATTAGCTTAATATTCATTAGTCTCCTACTTGGCATCCGCTGTTATATTACAACAGTTACTGCAAAATATTGTAACTTATCAAAAGATTAGAGGAAGTTGTTAAACTAGAAATCTCTTGGTAATTGTGTCATTCTATTCTATTGCACACAGGAGATTTCTTTGTATGTGTACTCACCTGTTTGTATATATCTGGGTGAGTATATTTTATCTAACATATTACATTGCTTCCCATTAAATTAAATCTTAAATGAGTTTACAAATATTTTGCATTGTGAAAGAAAAATTTCAGTAAAACATTATTTAAAACACAAACAATTTAGGAACATTTTCTTTTTTTATTACCTCATAATTTAGGCCCTAGAGAAGGCTCACAGCTATTCATCTTCCAGTCTTTCCAGAAGTATAAATAGAACACATAAATCAATATAGATATATGTAAGTATATAAAACTGTATTTCTGTATATTGTGTATTGCAGCTTTGCTCTTAGGGATCACTTTTCACAAGTAACATGAGGACACTTTAAAAAAAACTTTTTGACGGTTTATGTTTTATTGCATGTAAGGAAAATGTAAAGTTCTTACACAATAGCTGTGAGCACATATCTTTAATTGTGTTTATAACAAAGTTTCTAGTGCAGTGTTTCTCAACCTTGACAATTTTAAGGCATGTGGACTTCAACTCCCAGAATTCCACAGCCAGCAATGCTGGCTGTGGAATTCTGGGAGTTGAAGTCCACATGCCTTAAAATTGTCAAGGTTGAGAAACACTGTTCTAGTGCTAATATGACGATGATGCTGCACGTTCTAGCTTAGGAAGCAAAGCTAACAGCATGAAAAGATCAAGTCTTATGCAAAGCAATCATTCTGACTGAGATTGATTTCTCCTTTGGCTATTAATGCAAGTAAGTAAGTGGATCAAGTACAATACTTGTGTGGATACCTAGATGACAGGGAGGGTAGGAGGTGAAAAGGCACAGAACTAAAGGAGCTAGAATCTGAGGAGCAAGGCATCTGAGAATTCAGACTAGAAACTTAATGGAAAGAAGATATGAACAGTGAAGAAGCTGCAGATTGGAACTGCTGAGAAAGAATATGTGCTTTCTCTAGAGTAGTGGCCTCCAACCTTTTGGGCATCAAGGACCAGTTTCATGGAGACATTTTTTCCATGGACCAGGGGAGCATGTTATTGCATAATGCCTGGATCCTGTGCATGCACATATGGGGTTTCACTTGCTTGTGTGGCCCTGTTCCTAGTGGTCTGCAGACTATTGCTGGTCAGTGACCTGGGGGTAGGGGACAGTGGTGGGATTCAGCCAGTTCGCACCAGTTCAGCAAAACCGGTAGCTAATTTTATGTTGCCCAGGCCCAGAACAGACTTCTGGAAGTGGCATCCACACAGAGAACCAGTTGTTCACATATCTGAATCCCACCACTGGTTGGGAACCCCTGCTGTAGAACACAAATTCTGGAGAGACCGTGTTTCTTACAACTGCATTGCTCTCCTCTGTAAATGTTTAGATGAAGATTCACACAAGGATATCTCAGTAATAGTATATAGCTGATCTTGTCTGGTTCTGAAGCCAGCTCAGGCTTGGTTAGGTGAAAGCAATCAGCATATCATTCTACAAGCAACAAGAACACTATCACATTAAATTTCAAGAAGAGAATCACCTTTAAAACTCAAAACATCAAGATAGTCTCATTCCAGGCTGTTCCACTTGTTTGTTCCTCAAGAGCTTATTTTAGAGTTAGACATCCAGGTTCTAGGAACAAGAAGTAGCAAAAAATAGTGTTTCTACCAATGGTTTATCCTTTCAAGGAGAGCTTTGGGCTATCTTTCTCTTGGAAGTCTAGAAAACAGAAAGAATGTTTCTAATAATAGAGAATTGTCTCTATTAAATAGTATGAAACATCACAGTTCAAAGTCACTGAACTCAATATTCATTATAAATTTCCTTGACAACCCACAGTTAAATATTTTATGGTTTCAACACTTTAAGACTGCATTGAAGTCATTAAGGATCTTACAGATTACATCCCAGAGTTCTGAAAGAGCTGGCAGATTTTATCTCAGAACCATTGCATCACATCTTTCAAAAATCCTGGAGCACCGGGGAAGTACCTGAGGATTGGAAAAGGGCTGATGTGATTTCCATTTTCAAGAAAGGAAAAAAAATGGACCCAGGAAACTACAGACCAATCAGTTTAACATCAATACCTGGGAAGATCCTAGAAAAGATAATCAAAAAACAGATCTGCAAACAACTAGGAGCAAACAATATTATAACTAGTAGCCAGCACGGGTTTGTTAAAAACATCATGCCAAACCAATCTTATTTCATTCTTTGACAAAGTGACTAAACTAATAGACCAGTGAAATGTTGTGGACATAATATACTTAGACTTCAGTAAGGCATTTGATAAAGTAGACCACAACCTACTCCTTGGTAAGTTAGAAAAAGGTGGAATAGACAACATCACAACCAGATGGATCTGTAGCTGGCTGGCAAACCATACTCAACGAGTAGTCCTCAACGGCACTTCATCCACACGGAGAGAAGTAAGCAACGGGATACCACAAGGTTCCGTCTTGGGCCCAGTACTCTTCAATATCTTCATCAATGATTTAGATGAGGGAATTGAAGGGAAACTCATCAAATTTCCAGATGATACCAAACTGGCAGGAGTAGTCAACACCCCAGAAGACAAACTCAGGATCCAAAAAGATCTTGACAAACCTGAACAATGGGCCCTATCCAGTGCTCTTTTTTTAAAAAAAAAAGGTGCTGGAACTCACACACGTCATACAACCCGCCTTGCCTATCCTACAAGGTTCCATCCAAAAAAGGTGCCGGAACTCTGTTCTGGGCATTCTATGAGAAAAAAAGCCCTGGCCCTATCCAACAAAATGAGTTTTAATGTGGAGAAAAGCAAAGTTTTATATTTAGGTAGGAAAAATCAAAAGTACAAGTACAGATTGGGCAAGATCTGGCTTAAAAACAGTAACTGTGAGAGGGATCTTGGAGTCTTAGTGGATAATCACTTAACCATAAACCAGCAGTGTACAGAGCAGCCAAAAAAGCTAATAAAATCCTGGATTGTATAAACAGAGGCATAGAATCAAGATCACATGAGTACCGCTTTAGAAAACCCTAGTAAGACCACATCTGGAATACTGCAGCCAATTTTGGTCACCATATCACAAAAAAGATGTTGAGAGTTTGGAAAAAAAAATTCAGAGAAGAGCAACTAAGATGATCAAAGGCCTGGAGACTAAAACATATGAAGAACAGCTGTAGGACTTGGGTTTGGCTAGTCTAAAGAAAAGAAGAAATAGGAGAGAGATGATAGCAGTATTCCAGTATTTGAGGGGCTGCCACAAAGAAGAGGGGGGGGGTCACCTTATTCACCAAAGCACCAGAGGGCAGGACAAGAAACAATGGTTGGAATATGATCAAAGAGAGAAGCAACCTGGAATTAAGGAGAAACTTCCTGACAGTGAGGACAATTAACCAGTGGAACAGCTTGCCTTCAGAAATCGTGGGTGCTCCATCACTGGTTTTAAAAAGAGTCTAGAGACAGTCACTTGTCTTAGATGGTATAGGTTCTCCTGCTTGAGCAGGAGGCTGGACTAGAAGAGCTCCAAGTTCCCCTCCAGCTCTATTCTATTCTAAGTTATTGAAAAATCCTTATTTGTGGGTTGAGAATCCTCTTGGGTGCCTAGCTGCTATGCTAGTCACCCAAGCATGGATTATTAGTTTCCATTGAAATAAAATATCAAAAAGCACAATTTTGTTTTTTCTAGGTATAAAAGATAATTTAATTGCCATAATAGATAATTTCAAGCAATAAGAACACATGTAAGCAAAAATTATAGTTAATACTTGGTTTATTTACAAATACACAAATTGATTGTGATTGCAAAGCATAGGACTTCAGCCCTTAGAGGTACTTCTGCATCTGCAAATGTTTTTGATAATTTTCATCCTCTTCCAACCACAGTTTCCAACATATCCACCCAAACAGATATGTTGATTTTACAAACATATACACCCCTCTAAATCAGTGGTTCTCAACCTGTGGGTCGGGACCCCATTTGGGGTCGAACGACCATTTCACGGGGGTCGCCAAACAAGGCTTTCCGCCATTTTTTCCCCCTTTTCTTTGGCCACGCCCCGGCACCCGGTGATGTATAAGTGGTTGGGGGTCACCACAACATGGGGAACTGTATTATGGGGTCGCGGCATTAGAAAGGTTGAGAACCACTGTTCTAAATGGTTTTTTTTTCACTCAATTTCAGAGTGAAAAAAGTGAATTTGATAGATTCTGCATTGGGGTTGTATTCCATGAATCAATTCTATGAGTATCCTGAATCACAAGCAATTTGGCTGCTAAGGAATGTAACCAGGCCAGCATGATCCCCATTCTTAACCAAGTCTTTTGAAAAGTTCATATTGTAAACTACAGAAGTAGAATAATACCTATTAATTTATTAAATTCATCTAAAATTTATCTTATTTTTTTTCAAATATAAATTTAACTGCAATATAAAACAACATAAAATTTAAACTAAAAAAATTCCTATGCCACAAAGCAAATTCACTCTACTAAAAGAGAAGGTATGATATTGTGTCTTCAGTGTGCGTTAGTAAGTACCCGTGAGACCTAAATGGCACTAAAACTTACTTTTTCTCTGACCAAGAAATTTACTTATAATTATGTGATAACTTTTTTCCAGATCTGCGATAGTGATGCAGCCTTTCCCTCTATTCCAGTACATTTACCCTTTAAATACATCATAAGGCTATTTTTTTTTAAAAAAAAGTTT